CTGTGGGCGAATCCCTGTTGGCCAACCGCTGTCTCTCCACGAACCGGGCGGCCACAGTCCTGGAATCGTCGCCGAACCCGTACAGGCCGGCCACCGCAGCCATGCGGCCACTCCGCCGCCACTATTGCAGCAGTTCCCGCGTTCGGCGCCGGAGAGGAGGGGTTTTTTTTTTTCTTACGCTTTTTTCTACTTTTCCCGCCGACCGTCAATAATAACCGCTGCGGCAGTCTGACACCCGCGTCACCGCCACCGCCGCTACCACTACCACCACTACTACCCGGTTCGGTCGTCCCGGCGGCAATGATTGCGGCGACGATCGGACGACGTTATAGCGGGCGGCCGCGATTTCACCGCGCCGGATACATAGTACGACGCGCTGCGGCTACGGTCGCGACTGGCGCGCGCGCGACGACGGCGAAAATTACGATTGCGATAATTTACGAGCGACGCGACCACTGCGAACGGTTGACAAAACAAAACAACGACAACAATCACGGCACACCGAGCGGTCGACGAGTCGTCCGTAAAAAAAAAAAAAAACGTTCGGCGAGGGGGTCGCGTAAAATATTTCACGAACGGCACTGTTCGAGAGCGGACGGTCGGACGGACGGCGGCGAAGACGACGACGGCCGCGCGGACGGCAAGCAACAAGCTCGTCGAATCCCGCCAAAACGGACAATGCCGCCGCTGCCGCCGCCGTCGACGCCGCCGCGAGACGTGTTCGCGCGCGCAGCTGTCGCGCGGTGTCAGTCTCGCCCCTCTACCCGCGGAGCGCGCGCGGGCCCTCCCTCGACCGCCACCTACCCCCCCGATAACGTCGCCACCGGCCGACCACCCCCTTAACCCCCATCCCCGTTAATCGCGTAGTAATCGTGTACGCGTACGACACCCCACGCCTACCCCCCTCCCACTACAATTGTAATACAATAATATTATATACGTATGTTGTATACGAGACCCACTAACAATTATTGTACGTTCTCGGCGCGGGGGCAAGAACACGGCCCCCCCTTTCCCCCTCCCCCCGGAAAGGAAAATAAATGGCCCCTAAACATTTTCTCGAGGCCCTCGGCCCGTTTAGCCGAATTACGAAACGCGGATATTTTGTTTAGATTATTGAGCGGGACTTGAATTTTACCGAACGACGTGCGCTTATTAATAAAATTGTTTTGTGGTTCGCGTCTGTTCACGACTTAGCTACCGGAAGAGTCACTCCGATCAAAAAATTACAAGTCACCTTCTACAATGTTGTTTATTTTTTTATTTTCTGTGAACCTTTTAACCGGACATTTAATTCGATTTTCAATTGTAGCATTTTTTCTAAATGACAATTAGGGGTTTTCGTTATGAACGGGAAAAACCGGGAAAATTTACGAAGTGTAATATTTTCAAACCGTAAATATTACGGCCTTTCAAAACTTGTGTAACCGAAATCCGCTCAGAATCGTTTTTCGTTAGCAATGGTTAATCGGTGTGTGTGTATATGTACATTAAATTTCTCCTCTACCATCCCAGCTTTTCACAGTAAACAGCTTTTAACAGTAGCCTACCCTAGCCTACCCATTGTACGAGGTATACCTATTTATATATTTTTTTTTATTTCGAATTTATAGTTCGGTGCATTGAGGAAGTAATTACTTTTTAATTATTCTTTGAAAAGTCCGAAAATATACTGTCTCATCGTTTTTGATTTTCTATTTTTATTTTTATATAAAATAATCACCATAAATGTCTTCAATTTTCACAGAGTACTTATTTAAGGCTTTTTGGCTAATAGGTACAAGTGGTAAAGTAAAGCTGTGAAAACATCCTGACGACTTTTGATCCATTTGTATAAGGATTTAAAATGTTCAACCACGGCTTTTCGCGTAAAACGACGTGGCACAACGAAATAAAGTTAAGGCAGTAACGGTGTGGAGAGGGTAATTTGAGGTGAAGGGTGGTGTTGCTGTTTTACCGTGCTGTTCATAAACTAATATGCGTTTCGTTGTAATTCGTTTTAAAAATTGGGTAACCGAACTCCGCCCAGAATCGTCTTTCGTTAGCAATTATTTATCGTTTTGTGTAAACTTTGAAGATACACATTAAATGGGTAACTCTAAGTACCCGGCCTCTCGACTTTTGACAGTGGCATACGCCCATCGAGAATATCGGCTCTTTTATTATTATTTTAATCTTCTTCTCCCGGGCCCGTCTCAATTTCCTAATATAGTAATATGTTTGTGTTTTTTCAACGGGAAATCGTATTTACTTCGGTGATACCCGGATTGCGCGAGGGTCTGAAATTCGAGTGGGCTCCGAGTAACCGCCATCAACGGCTTTTTCGGTTCGTCTCCAGGTGAGCGTGTTTAGTGAACGGTATTTCCGATATTTCCCGTTAGACCGAAAACGGCCTGATAGCCCCGCGGTCCGAGCCGCGGCGGCGGCGGCGTTCGGTCCGACCCGTGAACGCTTAAAGCGACCCGCGACACGTTATTGTCGTCGTATTGCCGTCGACGGCGCCGTTCGAATTCCGACGACTTCGGGCCGTTCCCGCGACTCACACACACCGCGTCTAGACGCAATAAAACGCGGAATTCAACGGCCGTAATTATTATCGTATTATACCGGCGGCGCGAAATATTACAACGGGGCCCCGATTCCCCGCTGCTCTTCCACACGCACCCCCCTCCCCCACCACTCCCTTGAAACGTATTCGCGAAACAGCCGACGACGACGCGGACGATCCGCCGCCCGGGGACTGTCGATGAAATGCTACGTGCGGTTTTCGTATTACGCGCGGCCCGTAATAAAACGGCGGCGTGCGCGGCGTAGGGTCCGCATACCGTCGTCCGTTTCCAATATAAAACGATTTTTTTTTTTTTTTTCCCCCGCGCCTCTGCCCTCTGGGGCGAACGTTTGTCGATCGACGGCGGCCGGCCGGATGTGCGCGCGCGATTGACGCGATAATATACGGGAAACGGAATCTGCGCCAATCCCGTCCCGCCGACCGACTGATATCCCCGCGCTCGTCGACGGGACAACCGCCTCGGGAAATACGAGGGAATTTGACAGAAAAAAAAAAAGAGGAGAAAAAAGCAAGCGGATTAAGACGCACTACGCGTTTTCCGCCCGATCCCGCGCGACCCGTCTCCCGTTTGACGAGCGTATATTTGTACAGGGCGATTTTCCCGTCGCGATCCGTTCCCGATTCCGTATACTTTATTGTCGAGATTATCCGCGGCCAATCGGTTTACGGTATTCGTCCGCCCCGACGGTGTTTAAAGTGTACGTGTATAATACCGTTATACCGATTGGGACGGGGTGGGGGGAGGAGTAGTATTTTAATTACGGCCACGGTTATCCTAAAATCGGTGTAGCGAAACATAATATTTTATATGGTAACCACTCGCCAGAGTTCGTAGGTAGGTGCGGGGAAGGGGGGGGAATTATAACACTCCAAAATCACGAAATTCGATATATTTTTTTTTTTTACAACATTTTACGGAAATTGTTTTATAATTCGTAAAACGATTTTGGACTTTTGAATACGCGTACCTCGTGCACTTCACACCCGTTTACTATTCGGAAAATCTATCCTTCAGAAATTCGTTTACACCCGTAACCGCTCGCTTCCACCCGAAAATGAATCCGCGGTCCGATTTTTTAGAATAAACGAAACGTAAAGGTTATTCGATTTTTTTTTATTTATTATTATTATTTTTTTCAACAACCAATTGTTAACGATTCCCACCGTAATCATTACGATTAGGTATACCTATATACGTAAAAACAAAACCTTATAACACAATGGTATAATCGCTCGATAACTGTTCATTGCGTGGTTATGCATACGAGTGCGCATATACAGAGTGATTTTTTTTCATCGCGAACCCGCAATTATCTCAGAGGATTTTAAGTGAATTTGATTTCTGTTTTTTCTAATCATTATGGACTCGTTTAAGCTTTACGTTAAAACCAATTTTAATTCTTACTCCTGCTCCATTACACCTTAAATAAGTGCATACTTTTCATTTCCCTATAAGGGATAATAAATTGCCTATCTATGATCCTTCTCTACTCCTCCGGTCTAAACTTTAAACTGTTATAACTCATACACGGTAAATCCGATATTAATGTGATACATTTCAAAATTTCTAGAAAAATATTTTCTATTCAAAAGAGGGGGGGGGGTTCCTATTTGAAAAAGAAATGTATGAACTTATTTAAGGTATATGGGGTAGGGGTAAAAATTAAAAATGGTTTTAACGTAAAGCTTACACGAGTCCGTAGTGATAAGAAAAAACAGAAAACAAATTCACGTAAAATTCTCTGAGATAACTGCCGGTTCGTGATAAAAAAAAAATCACCCTGTATAGTGCGTACGAGTACATTATGTGTGCGCATACGTGGTATACATACTCGTTCGCGAGCAATGAATATATTATCGAAATCGGCGGGGTAAATGGGAAAAGTTATAAAATATAAATAATAACGAATGTTCGGTTTGAACCGTGGGCAATAATAATATGTCACGGGGCTTCCGGTGTCATATTTTCGTCGGTCTGTATTGCGCATAAAATCATTAATATTGGGTTTGAATGAAAAAAAAAACAATAATAAAAAAACCTACGCCTTATACATATTTTCGACGGCTGTTGTTTTATTCGCACAGATAGCGTTTGTCCGTGAATTATTCCCGCGAAAAAACATCCGTGTTGATAAATAATAATACTATAGGTATTACGTATTTTTTTTTTTTCCAGTATATCGCGTACTGATGTATTATGCGGCGTTGGCTTTTTGATATGACGTATCACGGACGGCTATACACGTTAAGGGGGAAAAAACCGTATAAAAAAAAATAAAACCGTGTACCTGCGACGACACTACTACTACTACTACTACTACTACTACTACTACTACTACTAGCACTACTACTACTACGACCATTACTACTACTACTACTACGACCGCGCGGTACAGCGTTCAGGTACGAGCGTGGTGCGAATCATTCGGAATAAAACGAAATACACATGGTAAGTGCGCCGTTTCGTATTACAAGACGAATGCGTTTTTCGGGCATTACGTGTACGCCGCACGAACGCGTTCTTTTATACGTACGGCCGTGCGGCGTGTGCGCGCAACTCGTGCATTATTACAGAGAACCCGAACGATTTTGAACGCGGGAAAATTTCTCGTTACACTTTGATGTTTGTCTTCGTAAACTTTTGACAGTTTCTCCGGGCGTCGGAAAATTGGATTATCAAACTCGAACGCCCGCAGTAAGTAATCCGTGAGTGAATATTTATACTGGGCTGCGGCACTTCAAAATAAATGGTTCGCGTTGATGGTCCCGCGCATTTAGTCGACGAGTGTACGCGGCGACGTACACTCTGCGCCAAGAAGTTATACCCGCTGTGATAACAATAACAATAATCATAATCATAATAATCATTTGGATTTTACGGAAACATCAAAGTCCAATTTATCATTATAACGTCGACATAACGCGACAGTGCACGGGGGTTACTGTAGAACAGATTATAAAATAATATACGAAACGAAAAACTATATTGATAATAAACGAACAATAAATTACCTGCGTCGAGCTGGCGCTACAGACACAGCACGACTTTACGAAACCGCTCTGATAAACCATACTCGGGAATTGTTAGACACTGTTAGACAGTCGTTAGAATTCGTTGGAAAAAATTGTAAAAGTCATTGTACTTTAAAAATTTGTAGCACTTGTCCTGCACTACATATTATCAGACAAAAATTTTCAAAAAAAGTATCAAACAATATCTGCGGCACTGTACTCGGTTAGGTTAGACAGTTATTAGAATTTGGTAGACAAAAAGTTTCAGAAATATTTCACTTTAAATATTACGCAGTGTCGGCTACACACTCCTCTGCACTACAATGATATAAAATTAAAAAGAACCGTCGAACAAATCAGTTTTAATTCCGACAAGTTTGAAAACATGCGTAACAAATCGATTTTAAATTGAAACAGAATTAAAATTTTTAATGCATCTCAATGAAATCCGGCTCCCAAGAACATAATATACGGTTAAGTAAAATAGATGAATAACATAAATGTCGGATAAAGTATTTATTTGACATAATGAACAAATAGTAGCGTTAAATAAATCCGAATCGCGAATTGAATTTCCCGCAAGCCCAAGAGTGACGTATACGATACCGGATTCTCGAATAATATAATACCATGAATAATAAATTTATGTTAAATTATCGTGGTTCCACGTACGCTATTGTTTCCGAATGAGTGTGTGCGAGAGATACGTTTAAGAGGACACAGAGCCGTGTACCACGGATTATCAGCGTCTCGGGCCGTACAATAAATTCTCGCTCATATAGCTTACACCAGTCGCATTATGCGCTTCCGTTAAACTTTTATAATATTGCGTGTAAAAATTCTGGATTTTTCGGATTTTTCTGAAACCCGCACTCGGCTCGAGCCAATCTGGCCGAATCCTACGAAGCTACGAACGTACGACATGGGTACAGCTATTCGATGTAAGAGCGTAATATTATTCGTGTCGGTACATTAGTTTTTCGACCGTTATTTTAATATTTTTAAGTGAGATATACGAGCATGTGAAATATCACAATTTTAATATTCGTATACCTCGCATAAAAATTAAAAAAAAAAAAAACAAGAGAAAAATTAGCGTACAAACAATGATAACGTTCCGCTCGTTAAGTTTTATCTTAAGGTCAATTCGCTCTAATCTGATAAATACCAACGGCACAAAAACGATTTTAATCAACGCAAATTTGCCATGTCGCGTGACTAAAAGACGGAGACGACAAATGCCCGTGTCCTCTTAAAAAGATTACCTATATAAAACAGTGGCGTATTTATGATTTGTTGTCGGGGGCCGGGTGCTCGAACATTGTTTAGACGGCTTAATAGAACACCTAAATCATGTACCGAGCCAATCAATTAATAAAGTCATACATTGAATTGCCTCTGGAAGGGGATGCGGACAAATCTTTCTGTACCTTCTCCCCCCCCCCAGTAAATACATCCCTCGCATACGTATGTACTCTTCGTTCGAGTTTCAAGAAGAAGAACGTATATTATTATTTCTACTGTGAAAACGGATTTTTTGGACCGTCGAAAAAAAAAATAAACGCATAGGAATGCAATTTGCAGATAACGACGGTATAATATAAACACTACTAACAATATCCCGATGTAAAATTTCGGAACCCTCGAGATTAATATAAGACCGCAAAGCATACGCGCAGTACGTACAGTACAAATAGTGTATTGATTTTGTTTTATTAAACGCGCGATCTAATAAAAACCCGGCATTACGGTTTAGTTTTAATAATGGCCGAGACGGTTTGGACGGGAAAATAACGTTTTCAAAACCCTCGTCGCTATAACATAAGTGTGCCTCGTAATATATAGGTAGGTGTACAATACAATCGATCCCTTATGCACGTAATGAAGTAAATACTCAATGTCCGTTGCCCCGCATCGTGTTGCCCAATGCGCGTATTTTGTACGGTAATAATTATATTTGTTTTCGCTCGCCGTCTTTTTTTTTTTCGATTTATATTATTGTTATTATTATTATTATTATTATTATTATTAGGTATAAAATAACAAAAACGGCACTCGCGCTTTCGAATTTTCATTATTGTACGTACGGCTTTCTAATTCGCAAAAATAACAACAATCCAGATTAAAGACAATAATACACAATATAACAACGTATTATATTTTATGTAGCTGTTACGTATATATATAGGAACATACTGTAAATATTTACAATAAACTTCGCAATAGGCTTTTGAGTTTTTGTAAAACAAGTATATAATAATACTTATGGTATAATAGATAAGCACTACTTTATCACGTTGTATGTCGAACCTTTGTGCAACGGATAAATTGCGTAGGCACACTTAAACACTGTACCCTATCCCCGGCATTGTATATTCAAAACGAACTGACGATACGGGGTTTTTTTTTTTCTTTTTTAAAATTTTTTTTTTTTTTACAATAGCAATCGTAATGTTCTACACAATATAGTTGTTTTAATTAAAAACCGTATAACGCATTACCATAATAATAAACCCGGCTGGCACGCCGGACGAACGTTTAGCGATACAAAACGTTGTGATTCCGGCATGCGTGTACGAGTGTGTGTGTACATTGCGTACGGATATAACGAACGATATCCAATTGTTATGTTACAATAAACTACAATATTATGGTCGCGTGATAATCGTAACGCATTAATTATGTCTCTCAGCGGCGGCGCGACTCTGCTGCAGCGGTTTATTGAAGACGAAAAAAATAACTCCGAAAATAACCGCGACGACGTCTTTTCGTATAACGCGTAATGTCGAGAGGACGTCGCGCCCGCGTGTGCCGTTTCCGTCTCACAAACCGACGTGCGCGACGCGGCAAATTTGAGTCGGGCGGATACGACATTATCGCGCTGTTTAGTTTTAATGTCGGAATAAATTGTTCCGTTATCGAACTTAAATATAAGACCATTTTCAATAGAATCGCGTTTGTGAGAAACGACTATTTAAAAATGCTCGTGTCACGCTTAAAACATTAAAATATCGACGAAAAACCCACGTAGTTGTACACAGATAATTTTCTATACTTTCTGTACTTTTTTAATGAGTCGATTCGCTCTCAAATTAAAGCTAACAGCTCAAAGTTGTCCCCGCTAAATTCAAATTTGCTACATCGTACGTATATCGTACGACCGAGACCCGATCTCGGACACTTCACTTCGAAACTGGAAACTTCACGGGGCTTTACTAATTACATTTATGCGAGTTAAAAAGCCGAAAAATGTAAACTCGTGGTATTAAAAATAATTTAACGGCCTCGGGTGACAAATAACGTGTTGTTAATAATATTGTCACCTAACCTCGTCCGACGAACGGTAAATAGATTTTTTATTTTTGTGTTAACCTTCGTAAAAAAAAAAAAAATGTCATTCGAAAAAACTGGTCGTTATCCTTTGAAATCGTCCACCAACGGACATTTGCAGTCCGCCCACATAAACACGAGACTATAGGTACGCTTGATAAAACATCCCAATCGCAAAAATTACTATAGACTTCTTGGACTACAATATCCTATCCTATACACGGTTTCTAAACTCAACATTTATCGTCAAAAAGAATTAATCGGATGGTCGATCGGAAATGATTAAAATTCATGGGAAAAACTGCTTTTTTCCGATGTATAATATATCAACATAATTGTTTTATACTGTACCGCGAAACTTCACACCGCGGATTTCACTAATACAATATTGTATCTAAATTTTATTTTTGTATAGTCACCTTATTAAAAAAATAAAATTTCAACAATTTTATCAATCTTTATAAACAGACACGTTTTGAATGGTCCAAAACATAATTGAACCTAATGCATTACGTCGAGTTCATCGAATACTATAATATACGTATTAATATTAGTATCAAAATCGTTCAAAGTCGTACAAATAATTTTTGTTAAAACGAAATCACGACGTAATCAATAATAATGTGTATAATTTCGACGAAACAATAAAACAAATTCAAAACCTAGAACTTTCTTGAAGAGAACATTAATTCGCAAGTTATTATTTGCATTTGAAAACTTTCGTTTATCGTAACCTTCTGTTTTTCTTTTTTGTTTTTCGTATAGTTTTGACTGAATAAAATTATCGTTTTTTCCCCCCTTACGTTTATCACAATATTCATATTGTTAACACATTAACAACAACAAAAATATTTTTGTGCGGCCGCATAAGTTATTCACAAACACAATCCATATTCGACCGTATCGCGATTAAACTTTTAATATCACTATACACCCAGATCGTTTAAATTAATCTCAGCAAAACGATTATCGTTCGACGGATTTTGAATTGTAACGGCCGAGAAAAATCAATTTATCGACGTGATAATAATTAAGCGGCCAAGTCTACGGGATTTAAGACTATCTTTGTTGGTACAGGCGCGTATTATTATTATACGGGTGTTTGTACATAACTCAGTCTCCGATATAATATTATAAGTACACCGCTAAAATTAGTGTAGACCGTCGTCACGATAAATATTATGATAATATTTGCCCCGTCGTGTTCTCTGCGCGATTAAAACATAACGATGGTCAGATTATCTTTTTAACCGACGCGTTTAAAACGCCTATACCTATATAATTACCGGCGTACACAGGATTTATTAAAAAGACGGGCGTTTATGAGTGTCTGAGGGGATTTAGGGGGGTATCTACAACCTTCATAATCTTACCGGTAGCTAAACAAGAAAAGCCAATGTGAAGAGGGGGGTGATTACAACCACAAACCCAGGGGGGGTTTAGCCACTATAATATGAGTAAACGCGCATAAAGTTTACGACGGAAACCCGTTGGTGTAAAGGCAGCTGTGACACATGAGAATTATTCATAATATTATGACGCACCTAGACGGCCGCCCCGGGTTTGACGGGACGGCATTTTAGAAATGCAAATTGTCATTTGACGAATCCCCGCGTTTTCATTTATATTTCTACATTCACATACGACAGGTGCGGGCTTTTTATTTTTATTATTTTCAAACATATTCATGATGTCCTTTATGGCTTTATCCTATATAGTAATTCGATTTTCTAAAAAGTTGGTTATGACAAACTGTAGTAGTATATTAATACAGATGGGTAACTATAGTAGTGGTATTATATCGATCGATGGCAGCACGGAGTTGCTGCGCGTAAGCGAAATTCGACTTCAATTTATTTGCATTCACGGAGTTATTAATAAAATCAAATCGTTGAACAAACGGAAAATGTTTACATCGTTTTTGATTTCCGTTAAAAGTTTTCGAGTTGAATGCGTGTTGATTTCGGAAACTAACTTAACAACCTGTATAAAATTGCATTTAAAAAAAGAACCACGAAATACGTATATCGTTTTATTACAAACTTACAATTTCGTTCAAGAGGCCGTGATACTCGACATGTGTCGGCCGTCTTCTGTTTACAAACGTACGACACAGTTAGTTTGCGTTTAACAGTGCCAATTGTTTCATGTCAGTTTTAATATCAGAGTGAATAAACAGATTTTAACTAGTTTAAAAACAAGAACAATAGTGTCTGCGCAATTACGTTTTAAGCTAGGTGCAAATACGTGAAATATCACAATTATAAATGCTTCTATCTCACTCGAAAATTAAATTCAATAAAAACCATCGTAATTGTACATTGGTAATGTCCTTATCTTTAAGTTGTAGATACAGGTCAACCCACTGTAATATTAAAACTAATGACGCAAAGTTGTCCCTGCAGAACGCAAATTTACCATTTCGTACTTTCGTAAGACTGAGAAAGCACGTGCGAGTCTCACGTCGTCTTAACATAATATATTATTAAAAAGTCGTTCGGATTTTGTTTGCTACAAGCGTACTTTCCCGTTATTTTTGCACATTTTTATTAGCCACTCTCCCCGGATGAAACGAGCTCAAACTCGGGAATCAGAGTCGTTTCACAGGCGGATCGCAGTGATAATAAACTCGGATCGAATTTGAATACGAATTTCACCGTGTTCTAGAGTGAGGAAGGCATAGGGGCAACTAAGGGGAGGGGGGGGGTATAAAGGGTTTTGAGTATCCCAAGTTTAAAATTACGTACAGACAATGCGTGTATGTAAAAAAAATAAAGCGAGAAAAGTTTCGATACATTTTTGTTCAAAACATTTTAAACAAAATGTGCAGTTGCTTATTACAAGTATCGTGTGAAATGGATTGTGCGGGTATCGCCTCTATGGGTCTACGATGCGTCTATAATTTTAGCACCCCCGAGGTCGGAGGTCCAGTTGCGCCCGTGAAGCAACGCGTTTTTTCTCAACATCCGAACGCGCCCCTACACGCCCTCCAAATATTGTCGCGTACGCACTGTTGCGGGGTCGTTCGCGTTAAGGTTGCGCGGTGTTTCGGGACTTTCGCCTTTCGATATCCGCCCCGATGATCCGTATGCTCGAATCGTTGTTTTTTTTTGGGGGGGGGAAACCGGTATCGCGTGGGTATATGTCGATAATATTCCGGTATTCGGTTGATAATCGTTTCGCAAAGGACATAACGTTGCGTCCGCCACGCGAAATGGGCGCGAGAAGATTCTACGGCGACGCGCTCGCCGGTGCGTTTCGCTATTTCGCACGCGCGCCGCTATAAGGTCGTTCCGGTCGACCGTGCGTAATACTGTGCGCGTGGTGTTAGCGCGACACGGGGCATGCCGCGCTAAAGTTTACTGGAACGCCGGGCCGCACAATACGCGCGCGAACTTCGAACGCAGTGACGTCGAGAAATTTATCACAACGTCGCCGGTGCGCGCTGATGATGTTGCCGTAGGCGTACACGCGCGGGGACGGGTAACGTCGCCCGTGTGGGTCGCGCGCGCGAAATATTACAACGAAACGCGCGTTGCCGTACGCACGAACCCCGGGGCGGCCGGCCGGCGGCGAATTAAATCTGACCTTTAAGTATTGTTTTTTATTTTTTTCCCCGATTTTTTTTTTCACCGCCCCGCCCCCTCGCCATACGCGTTATTATCATCGTTATTATACACTATCCGCGTCTCCGCTCTCTCTCTCTCTCTCCTCTCGGCGTTGTACAATCGCGTCGTCGGCGACGAGGGGTGATGGGGGGGTNGGGGGGGGGGGGGGGGGGGGGGGGGGGGGGGGGGCGCGTCGCGCCGCCGGAGCGCGCGTTATTAATCATCGCGCCGCGGTCGTCTCCGCCGTCGTCGCGTCCATCGTTCGCGATTCGAGTCGCAACAATACGGCCGCCGCGCCGCGCGCGCGAAAAAACAAACGAGTTCGGCGGATCGCGTGACGCCGTGCGCGTGTATACGCGCGCGACGAGCGTTACATTGTAATACGGGCGTACGCGGCGGCGCCGACAGCGAAAATCGGCGGCGGCGGCGGATCCCTTGACGAGCTGTCTCGCGGCGGTCGGAAAACATAAATTAAATTTCCTCGTCCATTAATCTATCCCGCGACTCGCGGCCGCGCGCGAACGGGTGAAACGGGAGGTGGGGNGGGGGGGGGGGGGGGGGGGGGGGGGGGGGGGGGGGTGCGCGCCGTCGCCGCCGCCGACGGTCTCGAGTCTGCGAGCGTCGCGCCGCCGTCGTGTGTGTGCACGGTGCAGGTGTACGTGCGCGCGCGAATCGAAGCCGACCGCAACGGTAATAATTTATGGTAAATAAATGCGCGAATTAATTACGCACGTGTTAAAAATAAAAAAAAAAAACAAATAAACGAATCGGTGCGTCGCATGGAGCGTTGGCGATAAGCGTATTATACAAATACGATCGGTTTCGAATTGAAAATTCGTCATCGGGTGTGTCGCTGTCGACACGCGAAACGCGTAACGTAGACGTGATACAGCCTGAAAATATACAGGTAACAAAAATAATAAACAAATACATTTTTTTTTTTTTTTTTTTTTTTTTTGTCTCCAAGAGGAGACGAGATTTATAATTCTCAAGAAATAATAAAGTAAAAACAAAATTATTAAAACGGTCGATACTCGCAAATAAATATATAAATAAAAAAATGCGCGTGTAAAAACAGAAAAAAAAAAAAATAAATAAAAGAATGAACGCGAGTCGCGCTTTGTATTTCGACTGTGATATACCTGACGATGAATTTTTAATTCGAAACCGGTCGTACAATACACTTATCGTAATACTCCGGGCGACGCATTGATTCATTTATTTATATTTTTTATTTTTATGCATACATCTTTTATTTATTTATTTATTTATTTACTTTATTTTTTTTGTTTTTTACGAGTATTAACCGTATTAATAATTTTGTTTTTACATTATTATTTTATTAGTGTCGAGCGTACGGTTGTTCGGTGTACAGTTGTTTTGTATTTTAAACGAAAATAAAACGCCGCCGCCGCCGCCGCCGCAACAACAACCAGAACAACAACAACAACAACAACAACCAGAACAACCACAACAACAACAACAACAACAACAACAACAATAATATTATTATCGTACTGTCCAAACAGCGACGTCTCAATGTCGAATAAATAATAGCGTTTACGCAACACGACTACCCGCCCGTCCGTCCCCGGGCGAAGGGGCGGCGTTTTTCCGACGAGGCCGCGTACGCGAGCCCCGGGCGTTTCACGGCTGTAACACAAATGCGCTACCCGGCCGTATGATCGGCGGCGTGGGCGAACGTGTGTAAACCACGGCGCGCGGCGTACGGACTTCGGAGAAACGAGTTATCGTATTGTTTAACGATTGTCGGTTTTTTTAATATTATTATTATTATTATTTTCGACGCGCCGAATCGCCGAGGCTGTGCGTTTTTCGACACTCGGACGCGACAGACGACAGCGACAAGAGCGTCGCAACGTTTCCCCGCGCCCGTGCGCCACGCGCGCCGCACATTAAGCGGTTGAAATCGTACATCGTTTTCCGTTTGAAACCGCGGTAGGGATGGCGAATTCCGTCAGACGCGCACGTGTGTCCACTGTTCTACACGTTACGCGGGTGACCGTTGTTGCTGCGATTCTGTTCGTCTTCTCCGCGGGCTTCGTCCCGACTATCCGGGTGCGGCCACCCCCTTGTCCAATGCTCCCGCCCGACGCGGTCCCACACGCGTCGTCCCGCCGTCCACGGGCAATTCCGCCGCTACACTTTTCTCCCGCGGCTATTTTTATTGCGATTCTTACTGCTATAAATTAATAATACGTTTGGCGCGTGAAATATTATTAAATAAGTATACCGGCGGAGACGTCGAAGGGATTATTTATTCTTTGGTCCCGTACAAGAAGGGTCATTTTTGGTGTTTTTTTTTTTTTTTTTTTGGTTTTTTTCTTATTTGGCGTGGCGTATGTCTGGACATTATGATTTGTTTAGTTTTTAATTTTTTTATGAACGACGTTTTGGTTTCGATAGTTTGCATGTAAAACGGTTATAACCGCGTTAATTTCGTATTAAATCTTATAGAACAAAATTTAAGTTAGGACATTAACTATAATAATATTAATAGTTTAACCCTTATAATCCCGTCGGTCGGTGGTTTGATTTTGTATTATAACAGCATAATATTTTAATCCCAATTAATACTGCAGTATTAAGTCAAATGAAACTTTAAATTACTGGTTCTTTTTTCTTTCTGTACCGCATGGAAATCGTTTACACTAATCTTCTCGAAATTTATCGAGATTGTCTTATTTTATTCCATAACTCTGTACTTTTTAGATAAAGTAGGAAAATCCAAGAGTTAATACAAATTGTGTTTATGACGGTTATTTACTTTCGAGTTCGGCAAAAAATACGGATTTATTAATATTGTAAAAAATATAATAATACTTTAATTAAGTGTATTTTAATAATATCCTGAAATTCTCCTTTGTTAACGTATATATAAATATTTACAGAATATAGTGTTTTTTTTTTTTTTTTTTTTTATAATAAAAAGTTTTCTTAAACATGAAATATGTTTTAGTTTTAAAAAATCTCCGGTCGCTTATTATATATAAAAAAAAAATCCTGGCAAAAAAGACAAAAAGCTTTTGAATTTGCATAAAAAACATAATGTACACGGTTTCTAAAATGAATATAAATAAAAAAATTAATATTCAAATTATATTGTACTAGGTATGTTGTACTGCTATACTGGTGAAAATCGATTATAATTCTATAAAGTCTACCAAAAACTCTAAGACAGCGCGGTAATTTAATTAATCGAATAATTACAAAATGTTGAAAATTTACTAAAGTTGCACGAGCAAATACTAATACTACAATCTTGATATTTATTTTCGAAACGACTATATTAATGTTATATTTACAATAAAATGTAATACAATACTCATGCGGTTTATATGATTTTTAATATCATCTCAAATGTTTAACACCGCGCTGTCGTCACGTAAACTATAGTAACGAACAAATTAAAATGATGCAACTCGCACAGACGATATAATGATCACGTTAAAGAATGTGTACTATTTTTATAACTAATAACATATGTGTCATCCAAATTTTATGAGTTTTAAGAATGTATATAGGAGCACGGGAGCACTCTATTCTCCTGTAGATACTTTCAAAACTGTAAAATGTAACATACATAAGTACTTTGGAAGACTGTATATTTCTGTTCATGTCTGTGTACATTACATTATATAGTAATCATAATATGTGTTATAATATATTACGAGTAATCAATTTTGAAAAATCCAGAAATAACATACCTACTGACAATCACATTTATTGTTAATTTTATAAAAATACTATTGAATATATATTATTTAAATAAAGTATTAAAAATGCAAATAATTTGGATCCTTTTTTCTAACCGAAAGAGTTGTAAAAAGTTGAAAAAAAAAATGGAATCGATGATTTCAAAATTAAAATTTCGTTAAATATTTTAAATAAAGTTACACCAGTCAGAAATTCGACATATTTCGAAGTACCTACCACATGAACAGAGCGAAATATTTGCTCAACCGAAAAATTGTTTTCGGACACACATGACACATTATAGTAAAAAAGACGTCTTAGGGTAATGGAGACGGGTGCAGCCACTATTATGGACAATTTCATGTATACCTGTAAGCAATGATATACCATTACATACAAAAAAAAAACGATTCTGAGCGGAGTTCAGTTGATACTTGATACCGATGCTTCGTCAACAATTTATACATCATTTTGCAGTAAAATAATTAAATAGGCTTTATATATTTTCTTTAATAATATTTGTTTAATGTTGTACTGGTTTTCTCAATTTTCTTAAGTTTTTCCCGGTTTTTCAACTTTGCTGGAAAAACACTAGAGAAAATCGAAAAATGATTGCTTTAAGTACCTTTCAGAAACATTGCCATCATTAAAATTTGGAGCGAAATTGTCCACAGAAAAAAACATCGTAATTTTGTTTTTATTTATATTTATACGAACGGTTTATAATATTTAATAACGTAATACCTACATAAAAACAATTTGACGGTTCAAATAAAACAAAAAGTATATTCGACTATATTAAGTATATTTTAGTTGTTTTCTCGATTGTCTGTAATGCACTGTAATGCAAAAAAAAAAAAAAATAAAACTATAAATACATTAATCAACGTTTGAATGTAACAATCATACAGACGAAATGTGATTTAAATAAAGCATTTAATGGATAAACAAGTGATTTATTTTGTAATGGTTTTTTTTTTTTTTTTTCTATACAATATTCAATTTACAAAAAACATAATAGTTAATAACGAAATAATCGGACAATAAAACATAATCAATATTAAATAAGCAACAGAGAAAAACGTATTGCTGCTGGTATAATACACCCAATTAAAAGAATCTAAAAAGAAAAATAATTATTAGAAAAACAGATTGTATTTGTACTGCAATAATGTCACGGCGGCCAACAAGATAATGAGCACAGCTGCAGCAGTTTTAGGAAAATAATTTTCCGAAACTCTCAGTTGAATACTCAGAAATGATTAAAAAAACGAAAAAAGTTTACAAGTAAACGTTTAAATTAACATTTTCAACCGGATAGGTAGGTTCTGAAATCGAATCAATTTATTTTAAGGACGTTATCGGATGTTGAGCGGACCGATTAGTTTTAAAAATATAAATATTTGTATTTTTCTAATTGGATATTCAGTGTCCAATTTAACTAAAACAATACAACCGTTGATCAATCATTTTATTTAGCTATCGGCACAAGAGATAGACGTTGCGTTGTATGCAATAAATAATGTTATTATAAATTTGAAAGCTAAAATGATAAATGGAACCATTCGAAAAACGATTTTAAACATACAGCTTACCCGGCCTATTATGCTACAGTTTAGACATCGTTTTTCAAATGACGAAAAAGATTTGCATTCGATAATTGATAAGATTTTTTTTTTTTCAAATATAACATTGTGACAAGTACACGGTTTATGTCTATTATGGGTACCTGCAGAGGTGTATTCAAGAAAAGTTCTGGGTTCAGGTGAGTAGAAAAGTTGAATTTGCCGTAAAAAGCTGTTAACCACCCCGCCCACGAAAACGATTTCGGATACGCGTGTTCGATCGGCACATGTACAAAATCAAACTAAAAACTTAAAATAATCAACCGTCAATAAGTAAATTAAAATAAAAGCGCCGTGAATTAAAAGTCGCATGCTCATAAAAAGAATTTTAAGACAAAGGTTTCGTAACGATGATGTTAATATTATCCACACACTTTTATATTAACTTTTGTTTGGTTTTATATTGTTAATTCGTTCAAATGTTTTAGTCAAACACACTACTTAATTTCCTATAATAATAATCTTTTGGTATTACTACAACATAACTGAAATAGACCTAGCACAAAACGGTTTTTCAATAAATATCGAATATGTTTACCTAATGAATATTACATATATGGTTGAGTATTATTGTAAAATGTCATAAATGGCCAATGTGTTATATTGAATATAACGGAATCTGAAACTAGTGAATAGTATATTGTTGTCTGTACAATGATCCAAAACAAATAAATATTTTAGATTCTAAGCGGAGCGAGGAATATATTGATTTCACAGTGATGTTTATTTATTTTTTTTTTTCTATGAACAACGTTTCTTCCAGAAATTTTACTCAGATTTTTAGAGCTCTTAGAAAAAAGAAATCTGACGAGGTTGGCCTAACTTTATAGAGTTCATTTTTTAATTTTCCTAAGAGTTTTCATCATGAATGGAAAAACGGGAAAATTTACGAAATGTATCATTTTGGAGTTGTAAATATTACGGCGTTTCAAAACATATATAACCGAATTCCGCTCAGAATCGTTATTCGTTAGCAAAGACTAATCTTTGTGTACGGATATACATTAAATTTCCTCTCTATCTTTCCAACTTCTCATCTACAACAGTGGCCCACCCATCTTGCGAAGTATGTCCGGGTTTTTATTTTTTTATTGTTTTTTTCGAAAAAACCCGTTCATCTTTGCTTAAAACGAATATTTTTAGATTAAATTCTTTGGTCATGTTCTCTAAGAAGAAAAAGAATAAGAAAGAAAACAAAGTGCTTATTTTTTTTTTTACTAGATTACTTTTTTTCGTGCCTTAGACATATAGTAATGGTTAATTGGGGATTTTATTAATCTAACCAAACCCCTAACAGACGACGCTTTCTGTACGGTCTTTTTTTAATGAAAAATACTTGAAATAGCCCATTTGTCGGGAATAATAATATTATAGTATTAATCTAAGTTTCATTACAAAAGAAAAAAAAATCAACTTAAATAAACAGGAATCTTCACTTTCCTTATTTCTAGAATTAAAATCTGTTAAGGTTTTTTTATTTTTAAATTAGAGACAGAATTCCTCAACCAATTGGAAATTTCGATTAATACTATGTAGTTCAAGTAGGGCGGCGGTTGGCGACTGTTAGTGATATTTTGCATACAGATATATCGAGCGCCATCTAGCGAACAATTTTTACGCACAGAGAAATTCAAACGTTGTTTCAAATTACGCCACCATGCAAATCTATTCGCCACATATAAGTACTGTGAAAAATAAATAAATGTACCTAGTCTTTTTATTAGACGGTTTGGGGGTTTGAGCATATTTTTATAAATACACATATTCTATTGTGTTTCACACGTTTTCCACAATTTTTATACTCTCGGATCTCGATACATAGGTACCTAAAGGTTAACCAATCCTTACCGAACCGAACATTTCAAATATTTGATCGAACTTGAACCAAACATTTAAATAGTTAAAAAAATGTATAAAATATAAATAATAAATATGATAAAAAAAACAAAAACGAATACATTATTTTTGTATCTAGGGTTTTTCGTAACGAGGCTACTTAATCCATTATGCATTAACGCATTAATACTTATTGTTATTGTACGAATAATTAAATTTAATACGAAATACAATTTTCGGTGTTTCGAACCCTTTCATATATAAATTCAATAACCCTCTATATCCTATATTCCCAACTTTTCATCTACAACAGTGTGGGCCACCCACCGTGCAAATTATGTCCGTCTCTTTTTTCTGGTTTTTTTGTAGTGAAATAAAATAAAAATACGTTCCGAATCTAAAACGCCCGCCGGAAAAGGTGCGAAATTTATTTAACGAGAAAAATCCGAGCCATTATTATTATCACACATAATATTCCAACGGTCAAATTATAAACGCGTATCTATTGAATACGGTGCTTGAATGTTATAAATTAACCTGATTTAACCTTATTAACCTAACCATGCCTTTACTTAAATAGTGCTCGTGTTTGGGTATGGAAATTTATTTAAATTTAAGTAGAGTCACCGGACTCCGTGCTGCAGTATTTGAGCCGATTATCTTTGTAAAATATAGGGTCAGATGTTGCTATAATATCTACTTAATAGGCAAGCCGTTGACAAGATCTCGGGTACGAATTTAATGTATTCACGTCAATGTAAATACGAGTGTACGCGCTATATTAAATATTAGATTTTATCGTTGTAAAATCTCGAGTTGAATTCTCCCTGAAAAATAATAACAACACTAAATATGTCCGTGGAAATGGTATTTGGAAAACGTAGGTACCCAGTCGCTACTTGAATGTATCTTACAAAATATAATGTTGTTCTACCTCGTAAATTTAATGTTAAACGTACAATATGAATTATATTAATCTCAAAGACTTCGTTAAAGACGGACGTACTCGTTGACGATATTGGCAATATCAAAATGAAGACCGCGAAAATCGCATAATTTGTGATTCTGTCGTATTGTGCAGCGATTAAAATAACTGCTCATAAAAGCGTTTTCCTTAATGTAGAAAAGAAAAAATTTATTTGACATTGTCGGTAACTTCTCGAATCGAATTGAACGAATGGTGATTATACTGTTAACATTTTAACATTTCTTGTATTTTGCGATAAGTACACTATATAACAGCCGAGGGAGAGAAATGTATGTGTAAATAATAAATAATACGATATAATATTGTAACGAATTATTTTTGAGAAACTCTTTGAAAACGCGTCTCTTGAGGCCAAGCCGACGCGTATAACAGTGGTACATTGTGTTGTATTCGCTACTCGAGTAATCGACACTGCGCAGCGTTTAAAATATAAATGCTCTAAAACGCGCGTCCTAACTTAATGTAGATAATTATTTCGCTTTCGACAAACCGTTTTAATACTGACACGGTACACGAACAGTTCGCGCGTTTTGTAGCACCTATATCTGAATAAATATGGACTTGACGGTTGTGGAGAGAGAGAAATCTGAACAGTAAGCGTTTTAATGGAAATAAACTCGGGAGAAAATAGCCGGAGAGGCGGACCGAACAAGAAGAGTTGGTTGGATGATACGAAAACAGCCGGTGTATACGAGGTGGGCGTACGGGTAAATTGAAAGTTTAGAACGGGGGTGGCCGACCTCAAATAGTTGCGATGAAGGCGAAGAAGAAAAAATATGAAGGGAAGAATCGTATTAAAGTCATAATATAACTTACAATGAGGCGTATCAGTGTGAATATCTATTGTATACGGTACCCATAGTACTTATAGTGTGTGTATCAAACCATATTATTATTATTTTTTATTTTTTTTTTTAAAACGAATCCGTTTAGTGAATTGCTTTACAACAACGTATAATAAAAATTATCCAAAACGTCCGTGCTTTCTCGTAATACGCGTCAGTTTTAGTACTTTTATACTATAATAACGTATAGCCGGCTATAAAATCGCGATGTCGCATAAAAATATAACACGCACAAATTATACTAATAAAACCTGTATTTAATTTTCGACATAATGACTTTAACCACACAACCGTTTCTACAGTCCGAAAATTTGGAATGGCTGCTGTTTATTCAATTTTTTCTAACCACTATGAAATAAAGTCTGACGAACGTTGACACAATAAAAGGTCGCGGCGCACTACAAATCCTATTCAACTGTCCTATAAACTAGAAGTTTCCATTTAATCAATCGGATATTTAGAGTCAACGAGTTACACGCGTTACTTGTACAATATACATTATACCCGCGCCGTCGATAAATAACACCATCGGATCCCCTCAACTAACGTACGTACCTAGGTGTACCGCTTTTCCCGGCTACATTCCGTCCTTTGCACAAGCGACATCCGTACTGAAGAAATAACTCTAAAATAAATGTACATTCGTGGAAACACTGTGTCACTATCGTATAATTTTCTATTCGGTACGCTCCGGATACGAACAAACGGCACGCGTAATGCGTAAAGTACAAAAGAGCTCAATCGATAATACAGAGCGTCCCACGAAGATGAACGCGTCGTAGTATCTCCGGAGATAATAAAGATACTAAAATTTTGTGTTTTTTTTTTCTCGTATTACTCACTAGGATAAGGACTACAGATATTTATATAGAAATTCATTTTTTTGTTTCGGTAAAAAATTTAAAAAAAAGAAAATTGAAGATAGCCATTTTATAGGAGTTCATTCTTTTGAAAATTCTGACGCATCAATTTTTTTTTTTTCCATTAAATTCATAGTTTTTAATAGTTTTTTAAAGTTCAGAAAAAAAAAGTGTACAGTCAATCAATCGTAATAATAATAATCAAGTAATACTATAATAGCTTGCTGCATAATTATGGGTACTCTGAACTTTAAAAAATTATTAAAAATCACGAATTTAATGATAATAAAAAGTTGATACATCAAAATTTTCAGAAAAATAATTTCTATAAAATGGATGTCTTCAAATTTTTCAAAAAAAAAATGAAATAAAAAGTTATTTTTTTATGTTTTAATCAACACATACAACATTAAATGCAATATTAGGTATAGGATATAGATAGGAATCTAATATATTTTTGTATGCGACGATTAATCATTGCTAACGAAAAACGATTCTGAGCGGAGTTAATTTTTAAAAGGCCGTAATATTGACGATTTTCGTCGGAAATTTCGTACACAGATACAATAATAATAATAAACATCATTGTATAACCAATACATTCCGCTCTCGCCCAGAATCTAAAATAAAAGCTGCAAAATCAAGACGTCACATCATCATCATCGAATAGTTATATTTCAAAAGTACGAAATCGGAAATAATTGTAACGAATTCCGACCACTAACACCTCGATACCAATAACCAGCATCTTTTGTTTGTTATGCGAACAAAACTCGTTCAAAAACATTTTCAAACGACAACCTACCCAAAAAACACCATAAATAGACAGAGTATTAAATTAAATTGGTATTGAAATTTCTGGTTTCTGTCAACCTGTTGGCGATATATTTCACGTTTAAGTTTATACAGGAGGAGTGTGATGGAAACTATTAATTCGCCGCGCACCGAGCCGCCACAAAAATGCCTCACTACTCTTCCCCCGCCGAAACTAAAAATTGGAATATCTCGTCAACAGATCGACTGAAATAATTAGAAATTTTAGCAGCGAAATGGATTTAAACCAGTTCTCTTTTTATTTATGAAATTTTTAGCGTAGGTCGCCGTTTGGAAATCAAAAGTAGGCGGTGCAGGCTTTACCCTTAGAAAAAAAAGGTGACAAAAAAAAAACAAAGTAACGCGAAATTTTAGTTAATTTTTTAAACGTTCTAAAAAAAAAAAAAACAAAATTAATTCTTCGGAAAAGTCTTTTCCGAGATAACGAGCGTCTCGCGTCAAATCGATCGTTCTGTATAGCAAAACGGTTTTATCCGATCGCACCGCTCGAATCGCCACGGCCGCAGCACGTCAACAACATACAAACAGACGCCGTTGTTCGTTTAAAACGGTTTTGTTTTACCGCCGCCGACTCTTTGGTAAAGGAACGCGACAACTGGTGTACTCGGAGACACGAACTATACGCACACACAAGTCGAGGTGTCTGCGGTGAACGTTTGAACATGTTACTTACACACACACACACACACACGCCCCCTCATATATACTCTCTCGTATACACGGGCCACACATACATACACTAACACATGTAAAGTATGTACACGCATACTCGCAAATACACGAGCCACACGTACACACACTCACATCACGCACACACATTACCGACGCATACGGCACAAAAGTCGCTTCGCAAACGAAATTAAATTACATTTGCGCCTGCAGTGGGAATCTTATGGGTACACGAACAACGGCAATTAAAGGAACTATAAGGTATAACGATTATTACCTACGTGTGCGGGAAAACGGGCCGGTATCATATGGCGCGATCGCGCGACACCGGGACACGGAAGCAAGTACAATAATATTTTAATTAAGTTTACTATTATATAGCAGCCGGAGATCATGGTCGACGGTTAAAGATTGTCGTTTTGAGATTAAATTCGACGCGTTACGCAATTTTTTTTTTTTTTTCCTAGATACCGTAATATTTAAAAAAACGATATTACGTACGAGCTGACAAAAAATTCGTACAATTATAGTTAAGTTCGAACAACGTGAACGTATCATTACGATCTGAACATTTAACCGATGTGAATGATATTGAAAATAATGGATTGCGCCGTTCCCCCCCCCCCGTTGATTTAGCGACACACTGACAATTATAATTGTAACTTTGTCATTTTTTTAACAACACCTGCTTACCCTAAATCGTGGTAGCCATACTAATTCTACCTAATTAAAGTTTGCCAAACAGACACAGTTGAAGTGCTGAGACACTCCAGCGTCCCCCATACACACTAAAATCTATTTGCTTCAATCCTGTATGAATTTGTCTTAATTAATCTATTTAAAATGTACACGCATTTTCAATAACAAACTATCCGATAATATTGTATTGAACAATTTGTTTACGGCGGTTCAATACGTCATTAATTATTATTTAGGTATTACTTAATGTATTAGCACTGTCTATGAGTGGTGACACTATGAAAATATCTGACATGTTGGAGTTTTTTTTTTTTTCATTTTATGTAGATGACAATAAATTTTGAAATTTTTTTGCTATCGACGCGTCATGGTTGAAATACGTTAAAAAAAAAAAATTTAATAAAATAAAATTATAATGTATTTTCTAGTTACAAAATAATATGCAACGTTCAATTTAAATTTGTCGAATCACGTTGAACCGAACTTACTTCAGAGCCGTTATACATTTATGATGATTTACCATTACGTAATACAGATATAATCCAGACGTATTTAATTCCAACTTACGACGACAGCGGCCCACACATCGTGGTGCGGAATATCTGTGGTTGCTTTTTAAAATATGCTTTATGAATAAAGTTTGCTCCGATTGTGTTAATAATGTTCGCCCTAAAATTATGTGGCATCCCGTATCTTTTTTTAACCCGTCCGCGCCTGTAATGTCAATAACTAAAACCAGGCCGGTTAAACGACAGACCATGATTACCGTAATTACGTCGGCTTCGAAAATATTTTTAAAAAGACGGCCATACTTCGAACGATGGGCGGGCCGTGGTTGTAGTTAAGAAATGGGGAAGGTATGTGGGAAATTTTACGGACGATTAAATATCGATTTAAAAAATTTAATTATTAATCGAGCCGTTATTATTTAAATTATTATAATTAAATATTGCTTACGGAAAACGATCCTGAACGGAGTTCTATTAACCGGACTACGTGTTGCTTTATAAACATTATGCGTAATATGTCATATTATGGTAAAATAATTATGCATTATATATTTTCTTTAATAATATTTGTTTAATATTGTATCTGTTTTTCTGTTTTTGTCATTTATTATGAAAACAGCCGGGGAAATCAAAAAATCACCTCCCTATTTCCTTTCAGAAAAAGCACTACAATTGAAAATCAGAGCGAAATTACTGGTAAAAATGTTGTTTACAGAAAAAATAAATTAAATAAAAATCGTCGTCAAACCAATACATTTCTCGCTTCGCTTAGAATTTAAAAATCGTTTGAATCTCGTCCGGTTTTCAATACGCCCGTGAAATTGCATCATGAGTGTATAATTTCGTATCTATTGAGTTTTCGTCTTTCGTTGATGCTTTTTGTTGCCGAGACTTTTATGCCTTCTAAATTGGACGATGACAGTTTATTGTTTTTTTTTTTTTTTTTTTTTTTTTTTTTTTTTTTTTTACACGACAACGTGTCATTCGTTCCATTTTGTTTTATTAATTATACTTGGACGTGGAAAACAAATAAACATAAAAAAAAAAATACGATTCTATCTTGAAATATTATTTTAACGTGAGTACGTTCGGAGACACGTTTCACCACGGTAATAATATTCTAAGTATAAAATGCGAATTTTTAAGAAATGCCGAATTGTAATAACTTGTATAATGTATACGTATATTGTACACCGTAGAGTTACAATTCGCGTTTTAACTATAGAATAAATTGTTTTCTTTATACTCTTTTTACTTCTTCGCTTTTATTCATTTATGTATCTATACAGAATTATAACATTTTTACAAATATTATTTTAGCAAATTTAATGTATATTCATAACTACACTTAATCACAAAAAAGTAATTATAAATAATTAACATACTGGTTCGTACTGCGAATGATTTCAGTGGAAGCGATAAAAAAAAAACAATAATAATAATGATAACCAACAACTTATTCAATGTGCGTGTATTATTCAGAAATTATCTGTACGATACGAGGAAATCCGATAACGTGGAATAAGGATGTGTCTTTTCCTCGTTAAAAAAGTGACAGACCGATGGAAAGCGACATCTGCCCGACGAGACGTAGACAGTATTTTTAATTTTTATTCAATTTTTCAAATAACTTACATCAAATATTGAAACCACAATTGTAAATGTAAAAATTCTGGTTCGTCGGTTCGAATATGTTTGTTTAATTTTCAACAATCGAGTGCGATTATTTCACAGTTTACCGTCGAATTTCGTCCCCGGCTCGATTATCGTTGAATTAATACGTACTGAATTTAATGATATGAAATTCTCCCATCGAGCGATTGCAAGACCGTCGAATACTCATCCCACACGTTACTAAATTATGATCTCACATCGTCAAATCTACGACACCCGAACCAGATTCAAATTCGACGATACTGGACGGTCTCACATTCGCTCAATCGGTAAATTTAATATCATCGAAATTCAGTAAATATCATTTCAACGATAGTTGAACTGCACTCTAATTCGACGGTAAACGGTGTTACAATCACCTTGCAACAGTCGAACTCGAATGTAGAAAATTTGACAACCATATTTCCAAACTTCAAGTCATTATTCAATTGCTCAACCGTTACTGCTACTGACCTCATTTTCCAGGTTTGAGTGTATGAAGTCAGCGGTTTGAAAATTTGAAGGTACTCTAGTGGTGGCACACTTATATTTATATAAGTCGGGCCGAGAGTCACTTCCCGTCGGTCGGTCGATAACTTTTTTGACGAGAAAAAGGCACACCCCAGTTCAATGTTAATAGTTACCCGAGTGCGCTTTTACCTCATCGTTTTAATTATTTTGTTGAACACAGAATGGACCGTTTTAGTGCACTATGCGTTCCGTTACGAAACGTTGACACAGAATTAACGAAACATATGTATTTTCTTATCATGTTTTTCGAATAGATCGAACGATACATAATAGATTTTCGAAAAAAATTTCATTGTACGTGGTGTTGTGACGTATATTCAAAAATATCATACGGATAATTTTTGAATAACGCGCGCACATTAAATAAGTTGTTGGTTAACATTATTATTATTATTTTTTTTTTTTTTTTTTATCGTTACCACTGAAATCGTTCGCAGTACGCACGAGTATGATGATTAAATGATTATTATTGTGTAGATCATATTACAGTCGCCATTGCGGTGTCGCCGCACACAGAACACGCGACCGTGAATAATTTTAAATCGCAGTCGCGATCGCTGTAGCCAAACCAATGGCGGATCCGTGACTCGCGATCGGCGAAACGATATCATAGCCTCACACACACAAACAGCGGATTCCGGAGTGATAAGAAGGCGGACGATCCGCAAGCGCAGCCGCTGACGACGACCACCGCGAGCGCCCAGCGGCAAACAGTACGCCGGCCCGACCGGCCGTATACGAGTATAAGAGCGGACGACGCGTACCGCGACTGCGCCACGGCACGCGCCGACGCCGGGTCGACTTCCCCGCCCCGCTCGCGGTCGCCGACCAACCGGTCGTGGCGCAGCGGCAACCGAACCGCCGGGCGAATCCGGCGCGCCCGCCGCGTTCCGCCAGTTCGGTCGCGACCCGCCCGCGCCCGAGACCGACCGGCGGGGCTCTACCTCTGCGCATTTGTACGCGTAGAAAAAATTTAAAATCGACCGCGCGTAAGTCGACACCACCGCGCCAGCTCGGAACACGGGTCCCGTCCGTCGGGCTCGGGTTGAGTATGTTCCCCGACGGTTGTTAAGGAGTTGCGAGTCGCGCGAACGTTTAACGCGATTCAGAGTAACGCTCGAGTGTTTAACAAGTTTAACGAGTGTTTTTTTATTTTTTTTTTTTTTTTTATACGGGCACACCACCGGGTACAAACGAGCGGTGCCGTTCCGATTTTGTAATATTATACTATTGAACCTTGTGAATTAGGTATCATATTGTATTATTATGATGCCGCACGTATTGGCGATAGGAACGTCGCCCCGGCATAACGATGGTTTGTCAATAATTATTGCGTTAATCGATTTCAATTGCATTCCGTTCGATTGATTTGTAAACGTACTAACCACGCGACGCGATGACGCACAGAACTGTGTTTTATCTCGATGAACGATCTAGAAGATAGCCAGATAAATACGTTTTGAAATGATCAGATATATCACGTGATAATATATATTATTTAAATTCCCTATACAATACGGTTTAACAAGTAGACTATACCTGAGTTATATCGATCACGCGAGCTCTTTCTGGAATCTAAATGTGTACCTATCAGATCCGATGTACATTTACCGCTCACTTATAAATACAATGATTCTTTATTTTTTTTTTTTTTTATCTGCAGATTACGCGCCTTCATACAGATAATTCAATTACTGTGTATATTTCATCTCCGTACGGAATAATTATTCCGGTTAATAATTTTATCTTTAACGGTTTATTATAAAATTGATATCTATTGTATAACACATGGCGATAACCGCACGTTAAACCATTGTGAAATATTAGCAAAAAAATAAAAACGCCCGCGAGAAATTTTCTCCGACCGATTTGAAGTCGTTACAATATTTTTTTTTTTTTTTTCTTTATATCAAAAATAATATTAAGATGGCCAAAATTGTCCACTGGTGTTAATAATTTCATATTATATATTAATTCAATTAAAGTTTTATTTGTTTACGATTTTTATTTCCTAGACACCCATTAACTACATACGTCCATCCCATTCCGTACCTTATTTCACGATTAACTACTCGCATTTTAGGCACGCAACGTTTACCTAAACTATCCTATAAGGCCATACCTTTCGGTCGTGATATTTGCGTGTACCCCGTTATTTACTTCGGTAATTGTATGATATTTAAAACCCGGTATTCGATGTGAAAACATACGATTGAAGGTTACTACGGGGAAACAAAATTACTTTTTTTTCCAAAATGGCGATATTGATATCAAACAATTTGTATTATTAGTGTATGTGCGATCGAACCGGCGAAAACACCAGATTAGTCGAAAGCAAGTCGGATTAATAATATAATATGACATCATTATGTTATGGTAAAATACATGTCAAAGTTTAACATTTTATCTAATCCGGACTTTTTAATAGGTAAAAAAAAAAAGCTACGTTTTGGAATTATAAACATGTTTTTTTCGGATTGAAAAAAATAACTTTTCTGGTTTTTTCCCGTGCCGTTCAATTTGAATGTGTTTAAACAGCGGGAGAAGGGGATGAGATTCCCAAAAAGCACATTCTTGATATTTGCATCGTGCATATACGAAACCTTGACTTCTTTTTGGGTCCCGTAGGGGTTCGCACAGCTAAAAAACACCCTCATCCCGCAAACAACATTGTGAAATACATATATTGAAATAGTACACACAAACAGTATAGTAAAGTAGTCTCGGTTTTCTGGCGAAATTCGACGAAAATCACTATGGCCGTAATACACTATACAATATTATTATTGTTTGCATTCGGGCACGTAGCCAGAGGAAGTCCACGGGGGTCCCGATAATGTAAGCTTCTCACCAAAAAATCAGACACGATAATTTGATTTTCGTTACGTTTTATTTATTTATTTTTTTTTTTTTCCAGAAACTTATTGGTAATATTGGTGATAAATTGTATGTTCGGACCTCCCCTCCCCTCCAAAGAAAAATATTCTTGGCTACGCGCCTGTTTTCGTTTCTCTGATACGCCGTACACTGCAGTAAGTATTTTATAAATCATAACCTAAAATACCGTAGGAACGCCGCGAATTTAGCCGAAAATAATAACATATAGTATAGTAATGTATAGTATAGTCAATACGGCACAAAAGAGTATAGGTATACTTCTGAAAAAAAAAAAAAAAAAAATGAAAACCCCTACATTTTAGCAAGCCCCGCGACGAATTCTCCGACGGTTTAAGAAAGTTAATAATAAATATTATACTTATTTGTCCGTTGATTTCTTATTCAAACGCTTGTAATGCAAGTCACGGGACGTGTTAAATAATAAAATTCTGTCACGAACTGCGCGCCGGCGGAGAAAACTTTCCCGCCACTTTTCTCCGTCGCGCTGCGAACACGGATAAAAATATAGTACTATTGCCGACGTCAGTCGTTATGGAGAGAAAAAAAAAACCAAAAAGTCATAATGTGATATCATGTCTTTACCGACAACGCGCCGTACGTTTAATACGCACATATTTTATAGCAGGCACTACGCCTTTTCTTTATCTGATATAAAATTGTGATACGCCAAACGTCCGGAAAAATATGCCTACGCGCAAATTTCCGTATATTATTACGGTTGCATTATAATAATCGATGTCGTTGTACGGCGAAAAAAAAGTCGGATGCGCGTTATATAGCCCATTATAGAAGAGAAAATCGAACGGAAACAAAATAATACGTCTCGCGTTTTTCGGCGACAAAATAAAAAAATTCGTATTTCCCCCCCCCCCTAAAATATCGATCGATTAAAAACGACAAAGATTTTGTCGATAGAGCTTATCAAAACAAAAAAAAAACCGCCACCAGACGAGTCCCGTCACTAGAGCCGTCAGCCGACTTGTCACCGTTACGATATCGTTTGTTTTTTTTTTTTTATAATTGATCTGAAACCGTGTTGTAGCCGTCACAGTTGTATTACGTCGATTGCGTTTTTCCGTGTGTAGAGGTGTTTAAAACCCGGTGTTGACAGTGGAAACCTCCGAAAGACACGCGTCCTTTATTATACTTAAAACAACGCGTACGCACTGTACGAAATCGCGTCCTACCGGCTTCGTTCGGCGTACAAAGGTGAAAAAAACCACCGTCATCCTGCGTTGACACGGCGGCGAAATTCGTATTGAAATTCCACCGTCGCTTCGATCGGCCCGTGGATCCACTGTGTAACTTCCGAGTTTTAGCTCGCGTGCGGTCCAGAGGGAGCCGGCGAAATTGTCCGAAAGTGGCGAGAAAAAGTTACACAATACGCTTTTCAGGTATATAATAACGGACACGGCGCACAGCGCAATATAGTCTCTATTTCCGGGGGCAGCATGGGCAATACAATCGGGATCGATAAAGGTACTTATATATATATATACACGGGAAGTAGATGCGATGGAAAAAAAAAAAAAGACATTTTCCGTGGTCGGAAAATCGCTTCCTTTCGAGCGGCGAAACCGCACGGGAAATCCGTCGTAGAATCGTTTTTATTACACTCGCGGCGTACGGTTTTTACGGTTTTAGAACGCCCGTATAATACGCGTGTATAGGTATACGGCCGCTAAAGATCGTAATCGTTGCGGCGGTAAAAAATAATTATTGCCCACCCCCAATACACTTGCGTCGCCGTCGTTGTCGTCGGACGACAATAACGATTGAAGTAATAATATTCGATAACGACTACCTTTGTGCACGGCTCCGGACTTCGTTTATAACGTGACCAACGTTTTGGCTGTGCAGCAATCATCTTAATTGCCGCGTGAGTGATTTAAATTCTAAGGTTTAAAACCATTACGCTATCCGTTGTCCATTTCAATACGCTTAATTTTCGGACGCTATTGTGTGTACAGTTAGCAATGGAATAGCCCTTGCCCCGTTGGCCGGCACTATAAACACGTGTCCACCCCGCCTGTACGTTAATCCCGGCCTGCCTGTATGTAAAAATGCCGTAGAATAGATTTCGAAATGCCGTCTGCAGATGGCGCGGCGAGTCACTGTTATGAACATTCCGTCGTCCTTTCGCGAGCCACGAACCTGCACCTAATCATACTATTCGGCATATCGTAAACCGTGTCAATGGTTATGACTTTGTGAGAAATCGCGTTTCACGGCAACAATACGCGGTTCAAGCAAAAGCAAAAGTCCCACGCCAATAAAAAAAAAAAAAAAAAAAAATAACAATAATAAAATAATACCTACTTTGAATACTCATAAACCGACAACGCCACTTGGTGTAAGACAAAAACACTGCAACAAAAGCGTGTGTGCGTACGAAAAAAAAAAAACATCGTTATAATATTATAATATTTCGATCGTTTTTAGCAAATAAAGTGCCTCGATTTGTACACGTCAATATACGTACATAAAATATTACTTATTACTAGTACGGTATAAATATAATTATTTTTGCAGCGTGTTGGTCGATGGCTACAAAAAAAAAAAAAAAATGGCGCGAAACAAATTTTGCGTTCCATAATACACAATGTAGGCGGGAAAAAATGATTATATCGTTATAAAAAAAAAAAAAAAAAAACAATATCAATAAACAAAAACGCAGTAAATGTAAAACGCGCCGAAAATTCACAAATCTGGTAGATATTCGGGTTATTCGCAAGCAGATCTCTACGTAATACACAACACGTACATAATGCGCTGAACTCAATTGTACGTCCGGCGATTGAGTTTAGCGATAATCGTAAAATTGTATGCAATAATATCCGCGCTGAAAATACAAACATGATATACGTATACGTTTGCATTGTAATACGATGCGAATCGAAAACAATGCGATGCTCACACGACACGCTTGGTAAGTATATTGTCGGTACCGTTGGTAATTTGTTTTGTTTTTTTCCCCAGTATTTGTCGTAAGCGAATAAAAAAAAACACGTTTCCCCCCCCCCGTTTTCTCGCACGCCGAACACTGAATCGTAGAACGCAGTACGGCACTGCGGACGCGTAGTTTCGCTCCGGGAAAACCGTTTACAAAACGTACCGTACCGCCGAATATCTCGGCTGAACGACCTCGGATTTCCGTACGGAGTTCTCGGGAGGTGAACGGCGGGTACCGGAATACGCGTTTTTAGACGAATGGAAACGTGTCCCCGAGCACCGCCTATAATCGGTGGCGGCTCGAAGGAGGTACACGTGAGTCGCGTGATTCGCATAGAAAAACCCCGCGCGTGCGGGCCGTGAGTGTTCAGAAACGTAACATAGACGATTATGTTTTGACGGGTAATTAAAAGAATCTCGGACCGCGAAAGTCCGATAAATTTACCGCGTTTTATTGAAATTTAACGAGTTCCAATACATTTGGAAAATTGTATTCAAGGAAAACACACCCGAAGCCACCGCTGTCCGTGATCACCACCCGAAAACCCCGAATTCCAATCCGGAATCGTCCAGCCGAAACGTCAGGCTGTACCTCGCGAACACGTGGTCGGTGAACATCGGATAACGTGTTGTTAATGCGTTGTGTGTGTGTGTGTGTGTGTGTGTGCGTGTACGTGTGTGCGTGTGCGCGTGTAAAATATACGGAAGAATGGACTTAAGCGTGTACATACAAAAATCGTTACATCATTACATAATATTATACAAATACATATTACATTATTATCCGTACATGTAAAACAAATTGTTAATATAATATTATGTGTTATAATATAAAAAAAAAAAATATAGCGTCAGCTGTAGCGTTGTGGTGGCCAAAACAATACAAAGTCAAAAAAAAAAAAGGTATACCGAAAAAATAGTTTTTTTTTTTTTTTCAAAAAATATTTTATTATATTATCAATATCAAGTGTTCATATATTATACAACAAAAACGAAGAAATAAATTTGAAAAACGGTATGCGGCGGGTGAGCGGACTGTGTGTGGTTGGCGTGGCGTGAGCGAGGAGCGAGCGAGCGAGCGAGAGCGGAAAGAGCGAGAGAGAATTTTTGGTGCTCGGATGCGTATACGTATGCGGTGTGCCGGAGAGCTGCTGCCGGTGCCCGGGCGAAGCCGCCGCCGTTGCTGCTTACCTCTGCTTGCGTTTCCGACGAGGTTTCCGGTCCGAGCACAGGCCGGAGCCGCCGCGGCCGCTCATCTATCCCGGCCGCTGCTCGCTACCTCCGCAGCCGCCGCGGCGTCGTCCGCCGCGGCCGCCGTCCGCGCGCGGCCCGACGTGCGGCGGCCGGAGTCGCCGCCGTTCCGGTGGACGCCGCTAGCTGCGGCCGCCGTCGTCCGAACGATGGTCCCGACGATGGCCGTCGTTGGCGTCGCGGCGGCGGTGGTGGCGGCGGCGGCAGCGGCGATCCCATCGGCCGGCTGCAGTGACGGCGACGGGATCGTATTGTCAAACGATTGTTATCGGGCTCGCGCAATTTTTTTCGCACGCCGCACACTGTTATAATGTTACATTACACGTACGGTGTAGCGAGTATTGAAAACGTACTTTTCGCCGAAAAAACAAATGTTTTAAAAAAAAAAACCCCGTATAATTAACCGTACGGTTACGAACGACCGTCCGCTACACCGGCGCCCGGTAAATTACACGCGCACGGCGGTTTTATCGCGTTGGAATCGGCGGTTTCACGGACCGCGGCATCCGCAGCCGCCAACCGCGGCCGATGATCGATTCGGAGCGCAGGCGCCGCGCCCTCTGCTCGGCGACGACGACGACGACGACGACGGGTTACCCGTACAGAGAGAGAAACGTCGTCCCCGGGTCCCGGCCGCCGGTATAGCTGCCGCGGGCCGCGTGCAGAGAGCGCGTAACGTTTGCTCGGTGGCGTCGGCGGTATACCTACGCGGGCAAAACCCAACGGCACACTGCTGATGGACCGCCTTGTGCTCCGGCGCGGCGGGACGTTTTCCACCGCGTGTATTTACACGGCTGCGTATGTGTGTGTGTGTGTGTTCGCGTTCTAGAGCGTACACGCGTCGGTGTGTGTGCGCACGCGTGTGTGTGTGTGTGTGTGTGTGGGTTCGTCCGAATGCGGGAAACGTGCCCCTCGCCATTGACGCCGATAATAGCGCCGGACGTCGGGCGTCTGGCGACAAGGCGCGACCGTGTGGGGAGACTGCGTACACACGGCGCGTTGTGCGTCCGAGTGGTGTTTCCCCCACCCCCCGCACTCGTTAGTTTTCTATCGGGGAGTCTTTTGTCGCGGCCGTGTCCCCCGGTCCAGGGGGGGGGGGGGTAAACGCGTATCGTCGACATTTCGTGTCGAGCGACGTGCAATAATACGCGGAGACTCGCGTATTAACGGTACGAGCATTATAATAGGGTCGAGTGTCGTTTTTCGGATATTCGCGGGTGCCCGCGCGCGAGCGAAACGCCCCGCCGCGGAGGGTTACCCGCGGGACTCGTACGTAAACGTCGTTTACCGCGGCGGCAGTCCGCGCGGAAGAAGGTCCGTGGACAGGGAGGCTAAAGGGTTTCCCGCCGCCGGTCGTTCTCCGGGGCGAATACGTGCGAATTAGCGCGGGCGTTTATATTGCGCTCTGCGGAGCACGCCGAGCCTTTTCCCGGATGTCGTTCCGGACCCCGGCGTTACGCCGTACCGAATGTATACCGAGTATTCCGTTATTTCCGTATACCGAAGAGACGGAGACGGCGCGTCGCACGCGTTTTTTGGTAAAAAAAAAAAAAAAAACCTTTTTATTCGTGAAAAACGAATATCAAGACAAGCGCGAATGTGTCGTCTAAGATAGCCAATAGATAAACGACACAATAGTAATGTAGATAATAATACAATAGATGAGAAATTTGATATCTAGTTAAGTCTCGAAACTGGACGCGCCGAAATCGCCTCGGAATTGGTTTTATTCGGACGATTCAAAAAAAAGACTCTACAATTGTACAGTACCGTTACTTTTCGGGAAAGAAGGAGGGGGAGGGGGGTTGAAACAGTTTTAATTCAATTTTGATTTTCGAAAACCACCTGAAACTCCACGAGTGCATAAAGTTTTAATTTAAATACATTTTAACGTTGAAATTTTTAATTTCCGTTGGCCCGCGCTGACGAGACACTTCACTCATAAGTTTACGCGCGGGTGGGGGGAGACTATTAGAGCGTCGTTTTCGTGCCGTTTGAATAGTGCTCCACTATACTATCCACCTGCCCAAACTCAAAAGTAGAATATCTCGTCGACGGGCAGACGGAAATTAAAAATGTTAACACCAACATGTATTTACTATAAAACTTCATCTATTCGTGCAATGTTCGATACAAGTTACGTTTTCGAAAATCAAAAGTTGGTAGTTTTTTCATCTCCGAAAATAAGGGCGATACAAATAGCGTTAACATTTTAGAGCCGTTTGTTTCTTAAATATTCTAAAAAGTCCGAAAAATGTTTAAATTTTCCGAGATAACGAGTGTATTGTATTACGTAAATCACCCTTTATATTATATATAAACATCTACCATATTATTAAATATGTTATAAATTAAAAATATCGTGACAAAAACTGATTTAAAAAAAAAAAAAAAAAAATAGGTGTCACATTTTATTAATACAAAGCCTGCAATTAAGAATACCTTACAAAGTAATTATTTAGTTTAACAGAGTGTATTTATTCATTTATTACTATCAAGAAAGCTCCGCCGTCTTCTTTTTTACCTTCATTCCGGCCATTTAGGGTCGGCCGCCCTCGTCGGGTAAGCTAATAATATTCTTATTATACCTACATATACAGAGTGATTCACTAAGCATAAACGACCCATTTTTTTTTTTTTTTTTATTGTTAAATTTTGCGTGTCCAAATTCTGATTTTTGGAATTTTCAAGTGCAGTTAAATACTTAGATTCTTACATTTAAAGAGTATCTTGTGGCCATATCAACTTTGGTTTTTCAAACGGGCACCTAGTTGGGCACTCATAAAACGACGCGCGCCGTGCCACCACACAAATGATACTCCATTATAAACTCTCCGCCTACTTAAAACTAAAAGTGGAATATCTCTTCAACGGGTTGACGAAAATTAAAAATTCTGAAGAATAAAAAATTAAAATTAATTTTGTTAATGGAATTTGTAATATTGGTTCTCGTTTGAAAAATCAAATTTGGTATCACCACAGGATACTCCTTAAATGTTTTGAAAAATTTATAAATATATGAAAATATCGGCTTTAACTACACTTAAAAATTTCAAAAATCAAAAATTGAAAGCATTAAAAATGTAACAAAAAAAAACGGGGTGAGCACGCTTAGTGAATCATCCTGTATAGGTACATTTTAAATGAACTGACACGTCAACGCACAGTCCATTAGCCGAATGGTTTATAGACTTTAAACGTTGCACACGAGTTTTCTTGTTATAAAATTCAGGCTTCTGATGAGAAACGATTTTAAAAAATTCGACCACCGAGGGTTTCGAAAAAGAGCGTCGAAATTTGTACGGAGAAAAATGTTTAATCATGTTTTATAACGAAAAACGAAAATCGAATTATCGAGGCTATCCGGTCGTCGTAAACGTCGATTTCCCTAGACGATTAAAAAAAAATGTGCGTCGAGCGTACCGGTGCGGAGGAAACGGGGAAGCCGGTGCGCCTACGCCCCCGCGGTATAAAATACCGAGCATATTATGACTATTATTAATCTCGATGCGTTCAAACCGTGTGTTATTATGACGGTGAATCTATTTTGTAAGTATACACGGTTGTGGAAAAAGTTTTCACTTTATTATTTCGGTCGGGACGTGAGCCAATAATTGAATTTCGCCGTAATAACGAATTCTTTTGTTGTTGATAATAATAATGAAATAAAAAAAAAAAAAAAAAATTAGTCTCGGAAAACCGTACAAATTCAATTGCCGAAACCCGGTGCGCAAAAATTAAATAAAGGATAATAAAGCGAGAACCGTAATGACGCCGCTGCGCACGAGTCAAAAGTTTTTCCTCGCGCTATTTTACCGGGCGCAAAAGTGAGAACGATAATTGTTCGACCGTCCGCCCCCGCTTGTATACGAGTGTGTCTACCGCAAATTCGAACAAAAAAAAAAAAAAAAAATAAAAATAGAAATCGCGATTGTACGATGAAATAGACTTTAATGGGCGCGGACGAAACGCCTTTACGCGGCCGATTTATTATCTATACGCCCGTACGCAATATAAACAAATCGGGAGAAAAGCGCACTCTGCGACCGTACAAAGTTCCCGGTTTTGTATACGTGTTTTTTTTTTTTATCAAACAATAAACCGTATTATAATTTTGAAATAACTTCGTGTGTTATAAGAACACGTATGAATTGAAACTAACGGTTGGAAAAATCCGGATTTGCCGAAGTTCGATAATCCGGATTTTCGGGAACCAAGAATTTAAGTAAATTTAATTGGCGAGTTGCACATATAGTTGGTTACGATTAGTTTCGGGTTAGCGAATTCAGTTATCTAAAGTAAATCAATACAATTAATTTTATTAAAATGGTCAATGTTTTTTTTAAGTTCGGAGAATCAATTTCGTCGTTTTTTCCTGTTATTGCATGTTACAGAAGGGGTGCGGGAGCAAGTCCCCAACGGTTTACTGTGGTACACAGGCTTCTTTTTTACCCCGAATAAAAGTTTATACTACCGGATACGCCTATATTCGCGTCATACTAATATAAACATAAATAAATCAATATCGTAATTTGTTGACAGGATATTTTTTACAATTCTTAATTTACTAATTAAATTTCGGTTCGTGTTTTTCAATATTGGCCAGTATGCACTTGTTTTTGATAATACTCATATTTAAATAAAGAGAGTAAGTTTACGAATAATAATATATATCTCTTCGTCGACCAAATCAAAAACTACATTCATGCAGGGACTATAGTAGTAACTTTACGGACGGACACAACTGTGATATAAAGTGTTCTAAACTTATTGATCTAATAAACTTGAAAATATTGAATTGAACAAAAATTATTACATTTTATCGAATCACGTTTAAAATTTAATCACCCTGTGTATGGTATTTTTTTTTTTTTTTTTTTTAAGACACGGTGATTTATGCGAATAATAATTATAGCACAATCATTCAGAAAATATCTTCAACCTTAAAGCATTATGAAAAGTTTGTTCGAGAAACTTTGCAAGTATAACGTAGCATTATTAATAATAAATTATCATCAATAGTTTTAAGTACACAAAAGGGTATTATAATAATAATATACGAGTAATAAGCGAAATTTATACTTGCAATTATTTTATCGATTTATTGTTCAATCGTGTTTTTTTATACATATATTTTCATGGAATAACAATTCATTGCATACAGTAATACCAACTTACTAATACCAGTGGCGGCGGATATATAGGGGAGTAGAGAGCTGTTGGTGGATTGCCCTCTCCCCCTTTGGGGTTTTTGTAACTTTATTTAAGTACTTTGTTGACCAATATTTGTTGAAATAATCGGATCGTTGTACGTATAGGTATTAATTAAAATATGAAATACCTATATGATGCGTAAACTGCATTGGAAATAGGAGAGGATTAGAACGGGAGTGTGTTCAGAAATGTTCAACGGGGGGGATTACGGACGATTTTTTCAATAAAAACCACGAAAATATTGGAATATTTTCCGTGCCGATTAGAGTGATAAATGTTCAACAGGCGTATTATAGGAAGATTTAAATCACATGACCTCCAGTGGATTTTGAATCCGCCCTACCCTCCCCAACAAAGCTGGAATATAACCGCTATTGACTAATATTATTTGATACGTATAGATTATGTACTAATATTAGTTATTAGTATAATATGTAATAAAAAAAAAAAAAATGTTATTTTCATAAAAATATAAAAGATAAATTGGACGAATCGATAAAAATAACCGCAGGGTACACTACAGGTATAAATCTCGTCTACTGCATTTAATCCTACCTATCTAAATTTAAAGCTCGACAATAATTATTAATAATACACGCATACCGCTTGCAGAGTTTCTGTAACAAATTTAATAATACATATATTTTTTTTTTTTTTTTAGATGGAAGAAATTTACCGAAAGATTATGCTAATTATTATACGCATAAATCATCGGTTGTTTAAAAAAAAAAAAAACAACATGTTTTAAACGACTATAAAGTTTAACCAAGCGACAAGAGTATACAATATCTCTTACGTAAATATTATCATTATATACATATAATGAACCGACCCTTCTTCAGTTTAATAACACAAATGAAAAAAACAAACAAGTGTTTGTATTTTCTAGACATTCAACAAGCCAGCCACTAAACTCGGGGTCTCGGTTTCAGGAAATCCTGCCGTCACAGGAAGTAAAACTAAATCCTTCTCGTTGACTATAACATTACGTTATAATATACTCCTTTTATAATCCTCCCTCTTATACGTACAACGTTGCATCGTCTGTCTTTAAACAATGTAAAACAAAAAAAAAAATCTATGCTGATAAAATTTCGAAATATTATTGTCATGAGTTATGTGTTATTATAATAATTTAGATAATTTGATCAACCTATTTAACATTGACTATTTTTCAAAAATTGAGTTTACTAAATGACTTGAATTTTTTTTTTTTTTTTTTCAACTTATAGAA